AGGACTCACCTAATATCTTCAATTCTAACTTCTATTCTTAACTAGGCTTCCTACTTTTTTACCTAGAACATAGATGGGATCAATAGCACACAGAGATTATGATAACTCTTCGTACTTGGCAATGTACTAACTTGCAAACCTACTTCTTTGTTGTGGTTAACAAAACACCAGGGTTTAGATTTTCTTGAGACTAATTTTTTCCTTCTAAAAAATTTAGCCCTAGAAAATTTGCAATTAAACTATGCACTTGTTACTTTCCTTCTAAAAAGGATCACGAGAAGGTAGACAGAGCTTGCATAGTGCCTGATCATGATTGAGTATTTCACTTGTCGTTGGTTAGGAATGGACAAAAAATTTGGATATAAAAGTCCAATTCATAACCAAACACAACTAGATTTAAAGGTCCAAATTAAAAAAAAAAAAAAAGATACTTCATCCATAACAACAACAAAAATCTAGGTATGCTTTAGATTTGATTTATCAAAACTATATTTAATTTAACAAAATTAGTTTTCTTCTTTGTCAGCCTTTACGTAGTTCATCATCTTCTAAACCTTAAATCTCGTTGTGATATGAATTGTGCTGCTAGGTATTTAATTTTTTAGCTTTCAACCTCTACTTATTCCACTTCTCGTCTAAAATTTGTCTGTGATTCTTTTGACATTTGCTTGATAATATGTTTGTTTTTCGTAGAAAGTGGGAGAATTGAGTTTTCAAAAGTAAACAAGCACTGACTTGTTTCTTTTACTTTATCTGATGATGATTTTTCTTCATGAATATGTGCTTATCTCCTTCATTGCCAATTGTATCTTTCAAGCATATATGGTCTAATACTAATTGTTTGCTTGTGCTTTGTGCATAGACAATTTTTTCTCATATATGCAATTCCTTTATTCATGTTCTTGTGAATTATTAGAATAGCTCTTTCCTATTTCATGATTCTTAGAATTTTGGTGACAATTTTATCAATTATATGTAGTACCATGCTGAAAAAGAATTATTACATTTTAGTTACAATATTTTTGAGTTAATTGAGAGAGATTCTTCTCGATTTCAAATTTATGACTGAACTCTTTATTTTGATCCTACAGTTTGCATATTCTTTCTAGTTTTTTGTTTTATCTTGACCCTAAACTACTACCTAAATTATCCTCTAGAAAGTCTATGAACAATATATATGTGCTTCAAAAGTTGTGTTGGTTCCATAGAGTTTTTGGTTGCTTCTATCTCAACTTCCTTGTCAAGTGCACCATGACCACATATTCTTAGCTTACAAAATCTCTTACTTGGGAGTATATCTCAACTCACATATTGTAGTAATTTCTAGTACATTTTGTTCACTAATGCTCAAAATTTTTATTCTATGTGTCATTTGAATCTCAATTAAGGATATATTGATAAATTACAAAGGTTGTTTTCAAGATTAAACCCATAACCTTTAGGTAACAAGACAATAGCCCTAGTCTTGTGTTAAGGCTCTCCTTCTATATGACTAGACAAGTGTGCTAGAGTAAAATTATTCAACAATTTCTCATCATCAATTTGAAAGACCAAGATCAAGAGTATCCTTGCACTTGAGAAGGATGATAGTAACGATGAAAATAAAATAAGTATTAGAGCCAGTTATGTTCCATCCCCTTTTGCAACCATTTCTAATCTAAGTAAATCTCATTCTTCTCATCAAATTTCTGTTTAGTTATATTTATTTGATTGCAAGTTGCTTTTTTCAATTGAAAAATCTGAATTTGATATGTGAAGATTGACAAAGAGATCATATAGTAATTATGCTTTATAATATAGACAAGAATGTTGTTTTTCATGGAACATTAAAACCTAAGGAAGTACTCAAAAGTATGATCGGATAAAATAAATACTTTAAAATTATTAAATTAGTATAATTAATTAATTTAAGGCAATAACCTTAATGCAAATGCATTAAAAATAATGTTAGATGAGTTTCTTTATCTTTTCTATGCATAAATTAACTCTTGATTATGAATTTATTTTTTTAAATTTATAAAATATATTTTTTCAATTTTTTTACTTAAAATAAAATTATTTCTTTGAATACTTCATTTGCCAATTCTTTGCGATTTTAGTTATAACATGTGTTATTAAATAAAGTCCTTTGACAATTACAACAAAGTCTAATGTGATATTACTTGGTGAACAGCTAATTAACCTGAAGTTTATAACAAACAAGTAGGATTGACAAGAAAAGAGGTAATTACGCAATATTTAACTTTAACTACAAAAGGCACTAGAACCTAACTATGAAGTGAGAGTTTACTGATAATCATAATTATGAAAAATATTGAAATAAAATACAAGATGATTTCAACATATTTAATTTAAAATGCAGTGTAATCATACGTTAGGATACAACATATCAGATACAATAATGATTATCTGTGAAATAACATCAGCAAATGTAAGGTATCATGGAAAGGATTGAAATCATCGGTGGGTAACTCTCTATCAAGACACAAATTAATGTTAGTTTGGATTGCAATAGCATCCATATTCAAGGATGAGTAATCTCTCTTTTTAGTGTCTCTTATGTAAGCTCAACTCTTCTAAGGGCACCTGTTTCATAATTGAAATATTTTAAGCATAACGTATAATGCTCCCTTGCATTTGAATTGTTAACATTTCGTCTAATTAGCCTGTGAATTAGTCTGATAGCGTTGGTCACATTCACACATGTCACATCAATGACATATTGAGCAATGCCGACAAGGTTTGTATTAGCTTCTCCACCAGGCTTTGAATTCACAATATTTGCACAAAATGAAGGATTTTTGGCTTTCTTGCAAATGGCATCAACTTCCAAACCTTGCGTTGCATACATGAATGTAGTAAATAAAAGGAACATTAGCACTACTGAAGACAACTTTTGTGCCATTGTTAAATTATATATATTTCTCCTTCCTTGTCCTTCTTGTTTAGTTCTCTCAAACCTCTTTTATAGTTCTCAATTGAAAATATGGGTATAGGTAGTTTCATAACATATTAAGAATGCAATTTTTGTAATTGTTGTAAAACCTTACAAATAAAGAAAAGAAATCATGTGCCATTAAGTTTAGCTTTATTGCTAAAAATATCAAATGAAATTCAAAATTTTTAGTGCAAGTTCAATAATCAAATCATCACTTATAGGTGGACAACTAATCTTCCTATTCTTGATTCCTATTCTTAGAATTTTAGTTTTTTTATATTTTAAATTGAATGCAAACCCACTTTATGAATTTGCAATTATTTCTTAAAAAGAATGTTGAAAAGAATATATTTAACATATGTTAGTAGGATCTATTTATTTAAAATTAGCTACTATCAAGGTGACACTATTTTACAATTTGTGAATTTTAAATATTTTTTCTTTGTCAACATTTCTTTTTACACACATTTGGACCATTTTACTCTAAATGGGAAAGTCTTTCAATCAATATCTTTTTATGATTGAAAGAAAAAATATTTTAAAGAGTAAATTAATATTCATTTTAGTTCTTCAAATTATAAACATAGATACTTCAATTTTTATTTTATTTTTTGTTGACGCTTTATATAAAAAAAAATTAAAATAAATAACATTTTATAGAATCAAAGATTAAAATAAGATTTAGACTAAAGTGATCGATACTTATAATTTTAAAGACTAAAATAAGTATCGATCACTTAAAGATAGAAATTAGTAGAATTGATTTGCTGGTAACTAAGGATAGAAATTAAATATTATTTAGTTTGGATTAAGTAGACACATTAATAGACAACTTTTAGTTAAAATTATGAAGAATTAAATAACATATTAAATTACTAGTTCATTCATACTTATTCTAATATTATTAGCAAGTGTGTGGGTTATTTTGGTGGTGGTTGCACTAGAGAACAAAAGACAAGATAAAAAGAGTTTGGGAGAAAGAAAAAGGAAGCACGGAAGAAGAAATCTCCAAAGATTAAAAGATCTTGTAAGGTGACGAATAAAACTCATCCTCCTTTTTAACTTCTACTTCCTTTTCTTTTCTTTTCTTTGTCATTCCAACTGTGAAAAATAATCCAGTTGTATAGTGCTATAAAACTGAGTTTTGGAGAGTCATTTTACATCTCCAGAGGTGCATCTTTATTTAACTTCAATCATTTGAGTATTTTCTTAGATGACTACATAAATAGTTTTATTTGTTTCTAAGCTCAAACCACTTATACTATCAACGCTGTTTAAAAAAGTATAACTCCTATAGTGTCATGAAATTGATATATTGCAACAAAAAAAGAATTATAAGTATTAAGAACTTAAATTAATAACATTCATCACTAGAATTTATTCTCATTAGTTTGTTTATTTTGTACATTGTGCTAACCTTTCCAAATAAGTAGATCTAAAGATAGACTATTGGTCCACATATGAATATATTTAAATTTCAGTTTCTAAGATTAGAGACAATATTACGTGCTTTTTTACATTGACCCCTATTATGCATTTTTGTATTTTGATGTGTCTATAAACTCTTAAGGATATAAACAAGTCACAATTGGCTGCATGTAGGATTTTCTTCATCTAGATTTTTGTTAATATTATAAATATGGTGTGGTAGGTAAGGAATTAATTCATCTATTTTAGATATATTATGTAAACCTTAAAAGAATATACCTGATGGAGTGGTAATGTTACCACCACTGTTCTATTTACACTTGTATGTAAAATTTAAATCTTCTGATAATTTGCATTATTTATTATTTAAATAAGTAAACGATAGAACATTTATGCTCTTTACTAGTCAAGGGTGTCACCTAAGCACTTGTGTTAACAAATTTCATAAAAATAAAAATATATTACACCATGCCTAATGACCAAAGATTGTAACATGACATTGAAAGTTCAATAATGTAAAGTACCCACCATGGCTTTCTTGCACAAGTGCTTACATCTACAACATAGACAGAAATTTTTTTGTGAAAAATCTAATAAAAAATGTTTAACCAAAATCACTAGACCATTATCCAGCCCTTCCCAAGAATTCATAGCAAAAAAAAAAAAAAAAAAAAGTCTGTGACACTTTAGAAACAAGTATGGTTCTTCCCATGCATCAAGATTCCTTTGATATATTATCCTATCAGACAGGGATAAGGGCTGAGGCTATACTCATGCAAAGATTGTCCGGGACAGTCCTTTGGCATCACCAAATATTTTTAAGAAACATGATATTCAACAAGTCTTTAGATGAGAGCTATAAAAAATAATTTATTACCCTCCATACTTGCAAATGTAGTGCTTAAATTATCTACAAGGCTATAGGTAAATAGATAGGAAAGGATAATGGTATATGAGCTCAAAGAAGGTAATTTAATTTACGTAGACATCCAAGAAGTGGCTTAAATATTTTACCAACCAGTGCTACCAGATAAATCATCAGAAAATGCACTTCCATATGAAATTGATCCTGTTTGTGAAGCACTACTAGCTCGAGCTTTCTGATACTGTCGTATCTGGAAAGCATCTCGTGGAAGTGGTTGGCTCTGGAGTGTTGTAGTATCATCATCCTCTTCCCCTAAACATTATTACAATAACAAATATCAGCAGGGTGGAAATTGAACTTTGATGTCAAATCCTAAAAAAAGAAAACTAACAATACAAGCACAACTAGCGTATAATCTTACAAATGCAATAAATAACCACCATTATTTAGGTAAATCCATTTGTTGTTGCTACTTGCTACAGGTTTAATTGTTTTGAACTATAGAGGGTTAAAACAAGGCACAAAATAAAAAAAGTAGTACAAATATGAGCACCAATTCACCTAGAAACTTTACAGGTGTTTTGATGTTAAACAACTCCTAAACATAATAAATTGCTAATTAGAATGCATATAGCAATTCTCTGACTAAAATATCAGCTCCACTTTGACAGAGAATCAGTTATGGCTACAATTGTGGATAAAAAGTATTTCATAAAATGAATTCTGAAGCTTCTCTAGTACACAGTCATGTCACACTTTGAACGTCAAATTAAATTGTTCAATTATGGGGTTTTAGGTATAGAGGGAGGAAGAGAGACAAAAGAAACTTAGCCCTAACTTAGGCCTGAAGGCTAGCTCATAGGATGAGAACTACACAAGCCCTTATATTAAAGAGTATTCTAGCTCTATTCCTAGCTAATGTGAGATATCTTAACACACCTCCCTCACGCTCAAAATTGGACATCCGGTGCGTGAAGTTTGCAAAGGCCTAACTCTCAAAAGCTAGCTCATAGGAAGAGGACTACACAAGTCCTTATAAAGAGTATTCTATCTCTATTCCTAACTAATGTGGGACATCTTAACACAATGTACTGAGATGTTCGATTTTACATTCATAAAACTTACTAGCCTTTTTTTAAACTAATCATAAACCTAATAAAGTAGGGAAACAGATCATGATAAGCAACAGAAATATGATACCTAATCTTAAGAGATAATGAGAAATATGATACATTCATGATAAGTAGGGAATCAGAACAGTGCACCAACAATGAACAGTAGCAGATACTACTGGAAACAACAGTGAACAGTAGTGGAGAAGATTGGAAACCAGAGATGAAGTCAATTTCCAGTAAAAAAAAATTACCAATAGGCAGTGGGCCCACCTAAGATGCACAGATTAAAGTTAGTCTCTCATTAGGCTCTAGATACCATATTAAAAGAGAGAAAAATGAGAGAACATGTGGATGCAATAAATGAAGAACTGCATGCCATACATGTATTGCATTCTTGTCAACTAGAGTTCAAAACATAGTGGTATAGATACCACTGCTCACATTTTCCAACCATTATTTATTTCAACTTCAGCAAAAACAAATCAATCATTTGTTATTTCTGTAACAAGTTACTGTTTCAATTAGACACTAGTAATCTGTGGAAAGACAGTAGTTGAGAGAAATTGTGTTTGGCTACACACCATCAGGTATTTATGGATGGATTCACAATCAGAGAGTAATTAACACAAATTAATCTCCATCCTAATAATCAGTAACAGCCTAACTGATTATTATAACCCAATCAACATAAATACAGCTGACTATATATTTTAAGTTTCTAACATAAATTTTAATATTCTAATGCAATCATCATTTCTTACATAGGTCACAGGAGATCATAATTAGGATGATTTGCAGTCTCCCCAGTTTCAATGATGTTCACTAAACTTTCAATGTAATACAAATCCACTATCTTCCTCATCCTCTTCCCAAAGTTCCCTTTTACTATTTTCTTTCCCTTTTCTCTATTGCCACTGTCCCACATCAATAACTATGATCTGGGATGCATGAGATTCATTACTTTTTATTGAAATTAGAAAAATATAATTAATTTTCTGATTACTTTTAACTATATACTAAGGACATGTATGAGAGTGAGCGTTCACACATAGGTAAGGATGTTGCTGCTGCTGGTGACCTTGAGGTCACTAGTTCAAATCCTAGAAATAGTATCTCTGTAGTGTATACTGAGGATATGTATCCCTGTTAGGAGTAAAGGAAACCCAAATAAGAAAAGTCTATATTCCATAGCTTGAAAGAACATTCATCATTATTTATTAGATCTCCCCATTAGCTGCAAAAGCATAAGGAATTTGGTGTGTAAGAAGTCTCTGTCCAAGTTGACCAAGGAGTTACTATTGTATCACTGCATCTACTAGAGATTTCACATTTTATCAGAAAACTTTTATCACTAGTCTCGGTAAAGAATTAAGGGAATATTTTTAAGGCATTTTCTACAGTAATCAGAATATGTTGTCAATCACAAGTTGTAACAAAGTATTTTAATTTCAAACAGGATGGGGTATGTACCAGGATTATGCTTGGGATCATATATCGCCATCTTTGAAGTATCAGGATAAAAAACTTTTGATGACGTAGTAGAAATGCTTGCCATAGATGCCTTATCTGCACTAATAGTGTAGCGTTCACCACATAATAAAAACTGAGAAACTAAGCATTAGAATGAATATATCAGCAAACTTCTAAACTTTCTTATTGATATTTTTGGCAAGCCACTGAAGAGATAGAAATGAAAATAGAATTATTTTACAAGACACTAATATAAGCACAAAAGCACTCAGGATATAGGGGTTAACTATGGGCAATCTAAAATTACAGTAATGGCATGTAGGCACTTTCAACAAATTACAGGTGGTCAGAAGTAGATTGCCTTACTTGTTCTGTTTTCATTCATTCGTCAGAAATAGTGACTTCACGCTTTAACTCATTCATACCATACACTATCTGGTTGTTTCATAGCTCTGTTTCCAATTTTGTAAAATAGAGGCTTCACTTCATACAGTCATTCATGGCATATGATTTGTGTTTTTGTGACAAATAATTAAGTTGCTTTGTGAATATCTTATTTAAAATTATTACATTGAACAACATACATCATTGATATGATATATTTCAAGTTACTCTTCATTTTGTCTTTCAATCTTATGATTCAATAGATATAATGATTCATGATGATCATGTGAATTAGTAATGTAGAGTAGAGAAATGGGGACTACAGGGGTTGTTTGTTTCAATTTGCAGGGACTGAAGCATTTAAAGCCTAGGTTCAATTCACACCAGCAATACCCCTTGGTAGGCAATTTGCAAGTGCCACCATAAGCCAGAAGTTTCAGAATACTGAACAATATTAAGATGCACTTCCCCACTCTGGTGAAACTTGAAAGATGCCTAAGATGATAACCTGTCAGAAACCAGTATCTTACACAAAATGGTCACTTCACATGAAGTGCATAAATATGCACCTTGTATATAAGGTCCATCGATGCATATAAGAGACATGGTGGAAGACTAATTCCAATTAATAAGAACCTTAGAACCCCACATTAGAAATTCCACACTTCCAATTTGGGACTTGAGTCCCATTCCTTACAATTGGCTCCTTACACCCTCCACATCCACAGTCAGACCACATAAACCCAAAACAGCCACGCAACCACCACAAACGGCTTATGAAAACAACTTATGACTTTCATGAGCTCTTTTCAGTTTATTTCAATAAGCTTCACAGTATACAATAAACCATCGTTTAAAAAAACTTATCGAATAAGCCCTTAAGTTGTGTATCCAAATGGACTCTAAGGCAATCCTCACCTTACAAATCAGCTTTTAGGAGAAAGTTAGACCCTGTTTTCAAATATATTGTATAAACTTCAAGCTCAAAAATCCCTGATGAACCATAGTAGATATAAAACCATTCATGAGTGTTCATCTAACAACTTGAGCTTTTGGGAGAGTTGGTTCTTGACAACATTATGTGATATGTTATGCATCTCTTCAAAAATATACAAATGACTGGCACCTCTTGCCATGATAAATGATCATGCTCATTAGAGGAGCATGGCCACAGATCCTTGAAACTGAATCGTGATACAAAATCTTGCAAATAACTCTCTAATGCTGCTGGTCCATCTTCACCTGCTCCAGAAAGTGCTTCTTTCCTTCTTTGCTCAACCTATATATATGATACAAGGATAAATGATCAAGTGGGTTACTGCCTTGTTATGTCTGGTCCATTCTACTGTCATAAGCAACCTTCTTTTGGTACCTATTGTCATAAGCAATGACAAGATTAACTTTCCAAAATCATTTTAAAAAATTCACACATTATGTGCAACATTATTTTAATAGCAATTTCTTCCATCCCTCAAGATCTTATTTCTAGATATTGTTGCTGAAAAACAAAGTCTATCTTGTTAGATAATGGCAAAGAATTTTTGTTAGTTCCATTTATAGAGCATTGATTTGGAAAAAGTAGAAAGAAAACTGAGTTTTGTTCTTTCAAATGATCTTCAGACCTTTACTAAAGCAGTCATAATGCAATGGCGCAAAAGTGGGATGTTTGACGAAAATTTTATTCCATCAATGTCAACTAATTGCTAATCCATAAAAAAACTGGCAACAAAATAGTCATCTTATCCCAATATTTTCCCTTGAGGCTTTAGTTTCAACTTTCAAATAATTAGGGGTCACAAAATAGTAACAATTTGATAAGCCAAAACACGAACATGACACAGAATAAACCAGAGATAGCTCATAGCAAGGTATATGCTGTATAGAAAAAAAATTGAAGCTAATACCTTCAGCATGCTAGCAAGAGCCAGATGCAAACTAGGCAGATATAAGATATATATTATTTTCATAGTAACAGTAGCATATATTGTCTACATTGAACACCATTCTAGCTTGAAAAACACAACCTTCCACTTGTATAAATGCAGTCGCATTCAAATATTACACAATTATAAAGCATGGAGATGTGTCATGCTCTCCAGAGGCTGCAGAAGAAACCGTAAGAGCCCCCAGCAGAGGATTATGTCTTACTACACAAAAAACCAAAAAAACATCTACTAGGTGATGAAAAGTTATGTTATTGCTCTCCAATCAACTCAACCTTTCAACGAATTGCTGTGGACATCATTACAGAACTCGATACTTAGTAAACAATTGCACGACCTATAACATAGTCTAGTGACATCAAAATCAAGTGCTAGGGAAAAGAATTGACACTGGAAACTCACATTGACAACGCACTTCCAACTAACGTTAATAAAAAACAAACTACACAAAACAAAAATTGTCACCTATGCAGTAATCAATTTGAGATGATCAATTTCACAGATTCCTCAGTCTTCATCATCAGAGCTGGCATCGTCGCTGCTATAATCACTACTATCACTTCCTCCGAGGTCCAAATTAACAGGCTGCACTTGAATAACCTCTGGTTGCTTGGGCTGCGGAATGTGAGGCTGCAATTGTTGCTCTGCAAATCTCGGAACCTGAAGCGAGTCCATGGGAGGCAACGGTACAGGATCCCCAGGTTTCCATCCAGGCGGAGGCTTAATCGGCAAATCAGTAGGCAATTGCACAGGCATTCCCGGCTTCCAACCAGCTGGCACCGTGAAATTCGGAGGTAGCAGCCCTTGAATCGAGGACAAATTTGCAAGTGGATTGGCATCCACTGGCGGCTGCAGAGGCGGAGGCTCCACAATAGCTTCAACAATCTTCTCCTTAGATTCCACTTCTTTAGGCAATCCAACATCAAGGTCCGCAAAACTATACAACTGCGAAACTCTCATCTGCTCTTCCTGCGGTGCCGGCGGCAGCGCGCCGCGGAGAGGAGCTTGTCCGGATCCAAATTCCGGCGGGGCGAAGGTCGTGTAACTTATCCGATGAGCGTAGGACAAAATATCGGACAGCTTCAACCGCGACGAGACGGTTGAAGAAGTCATGGACTCGCCTTGGCCATCGTCACCGGATTTCAACCGCTTGGAGCAGCGATAATCAGAGTAGTCATCGACGAGGATGTCGAGGCAGCGCTCCGCACCTTTGAGTTTGTTGGAAAATGCGAGGAGCGTGGAATCTAGAGAGCGAATTTCACTGTCAATTTTCTGTTTGGCGTTTTGAAGGTCGAGAATCTCTTGGAGTTCGGCTACGGCTTCGAAGATTTGGGTTTGGAGAATGTTGAAGAGGGAAATGATTTCTTTGGCGGAGGAAGGGGAAGCGTCAAGAGAGGTTTGGGTTTGGGAAGAGAGAAAGGTTGGGAGGGAACCACGGAATGCAGTGAGCCAAAGGGAACGATTGGGGGAAACTTGGAAGAGTTTGGAAGTGAGAGAAGACATTTGGAGAATGAGTGCTTGCGCTCTGGGGAGTGGTGGGAGAAGAGTGAGGAGTGCCGAAGAAGGGGTTGACGTTGAACTGTTGTCTCGATCCTGGGATTGGTGGGTCTGCGGAGGAGCGAGTTTTGGAGGGGTCGGGTTTGGGATTGAGGGGGAATTAGGGTTCGTCAGGCCTAACCTTGCTGGGGATTGAACCAGTTGGTGTTGCAGCATTTTGTGTACCAGTTCGCGAGTCCAGCGAGAGACCCGTGGCTGACCTTCAATCCGAGAACAGGGAAAGGAACAGTGACCGGAAGAAGAAGAGTTATACCGGAAGAAGAAGAGTTATAGCCGATAACTCGCTGCCGCGTAACTTACCGGATCCTGATCCTCTCTCTGGCGCGAGCATGAGCACCTCATCTAAATTTGCTTAAGCAAATTTCCAATGGCTTAAATAAATTTTACTGAATTTTCGCTTAAGCCAAAGTTTTTAAGTAAGCCACGCATTTATGGAATCCTAACTTTAAAGTGAGACCAAGCGGGAGGTCGAGAATATTTGCTTAAGCGACAAATAACCGCTTAAGCGAATATGGAATCGCTCCATTTAGCTTAAGCGAATCTTATTTCATATTAAGCAAATTTGGAACAGAGAGTCATGTATTTTAGGATAGGTACTGACTTAAATTATTATGTATTCGCTTAAACGAAGATGTTATTGGCTTAAGCGGATGAAAGCAAATTTATTTAAAATAAAACGAATTTAGGATAGAGAGCACTGATACACAGACCCATAAATCATTTAAGCTAATATATATAGCTTAAGCAATTTATGTGAGATTGGAGCGAATTTATAATCGCTTAAGCAAATTTAACAGCTTAAGCGAATTATGCAGAAATTGGAAAGATTATGCAAAAACTGACAGCATGTCAAAATTTTACGAAATTGCTTATCAAAGTCAAATTCACTCATCTAGAAATAGTTAATTGTGACAAAAAATAATATGGATAAAGAGTTCATTCCATTAATGGTCCACAATTGTTCATAATGAAATATACACAAAAAGGATTCATTACTACATAGGCAATTCAAAAACAAAAGAAGCAGAGTCATTCCATTCCATTCCAGAACAACAGAATCAAATATCATCCAGGTCAGAATCATTGATATCATGAAGTGGTCCCTACAAGATAAGAAGATATATTAGGAACCAGCATCAATGATTAGACAATGTAAAGTTAAGCTGAAAATTATTACTCTCAACAAATCTGTGAAACTTAATTGAGTAAGTAATGTTTGAGAGGGATCATAAGTTGGAGGTGCTGAATAATGTACTTCAACTGGATCACAAACCATTGGTTGATATTTCTATAACATATTAATACCCATATTATTATATTATATGGTTATAATATGGAAGTTAACTGAATTGTACATATTTGGTATTCAAAATCATTATATAAAAGAATCTGAGATGTTGATTGATCTAAAATTGGAGTTATGCTCTTCTTTCTAATTGCTTGTACCTCAACCCAACTTTTGAAACGTTTATTCCCTTTCCTCTTAGTGCTTGGTCGGAGCTTGAATCCCTTAGGTTGTGTACCATTATTATTGGCCAACATTTGTGCATCATCTTTATCTTTATCTGTAAGACTGTTTGTTTGCAGTCGAAGCTATGTGATTTTGCTGATTAAGTTGTTAATATTGTCATCAACTAGCTGACAATATTCTTCTGAAGTAGAAACGTCACAGGCCAACCTAATTATTTTACCTGCTAGGTGACAGTATCGACGTGTGGTACTAAGTTTAGGATCTCCTTCTACCTCTGTTCCTTTGACATTATGAATAATCTCACTACGACCATGTGTTGTCCATCTCTTAAGTATGTATTTATCAAGGATAACTTTCACATCATTGGCTTCAAACACTTCCAATGCATGACAACAAAGTATGCCAAATATTTCAAACTTCTTACAAGAGCAATATATAGTGCGTGAGGAAGGTTCAAACGTAACTGTCCATGATCTTTGTTTATGGACTTTAGTAATCACATATTCAATCAAAGGAGGAGTTTCAATCCTTTGTGATATGCTACAAGCTAAGAATTGAGAAAACTAGTGTTGGAATAAGTTAAATATTGTATGTGTGTAAACCTTGGCCATTTGTATTAAGATTGGTGAAACCTCATACCGCAACATGGGTAGCTTATGGCGAGAGTCGTACTCATGTTTCAGCTCATTGTAACGCTTGTCTTCAACAACTCGTTCAAAGTAAGCAAAGAATTGTTTGATGCCAATACCAAGTTTCATACATGCCTTAAAATCAGAGTTTAGACTTTCACTTAATTGAGTACTTCGCATTCTAAGGGTGAACACATCTTTGAGATAACATGATGCCCATTTCTCCTTTATGGAATAAAGTGAAGTAATCCATGAATTTTCTTCAACATTATATTTTTTTATGAGACTTCTCCATGCATCCTCAAACAGAATTAAAGTATCAAAGTCATACATGCATTTCTTCAAATCTCTTAAAAAATGACTTTCTCCTTTCATCAAATTGCCAAGGTGTTTTATGCCATTTTGCATTAAATGTCATGTGCATAAAGCATGATGTGTATGAGGCATTATTTGGACAATTGCCTTGGCCATAGCTTTATCTTGGTCTGTAAAAATTGTTTGAGGTTGTTTTTTATTGTGTGCTTCCAAGAATGTCTCAAACAACCACTTAAAGGATTCTGTTGTTTCATCATACAACAAGGCTGCCCCAAAGATAACAATACCTCGATAATGATTAAAACCTGAAAATAAGGCAAGAGGTCTATTAGCTCGGTTAGTGCAATATGTAGTGTCTAATGATATGACTTCACCAAAACACCCGTAATCAATTACCATCTTCGCATCTGTCCAAAAAACATTTGTGATTTGTTCCTCAGCATTCATTTGGTATGCATGAAAAAATGATGGGTTCTCAATTAACTGTCGCTGAAAGTATTCCATTAAGCAACCAACTTCTCCGTATAACATTCCCTTTTGTCTCTTAGACTTTAAATAATTTTTTGCATCTAGAGGAGTATAGTCAACATTAGCTCGATGTCCTGCAAGGGTGCTCATTAGCTTAAATGAGGATTTCTGTTGCAATCCTGAGGACTCGGCCAAATCGATTTGATGAGCTTAGACTTCAGTTATGTTACGATGCGAAACAAGCATGTGTGTTGTTTCTGGAAGTTGTAATGGATGATTATGCTCTTCAACAAACTCATGTACAACATATTTGTTGTTGCTTCCCAAAAATAATGTTATTCTTACGAGACAAAGTACCCTTGAATCTTGAAGACTTCTCCTTGCCTTAGTCATTAGCATTCTCATTACACAGTGCCTGTGTTCTGAAATTTCTCCTTCCTTCTTCCACCCCAAAACCCTAAACCCAACATATTTCATTCCAGACTGTTTAAAATTAGGTACTTTCTTCTTAACCTGTAAAATGAATGCAATTTGTTTTTTTAAATGAAAGTTCCAGTGTCATTCTTGTATATGATACATGCAAACTACTCTGAAACATGTATTTTTAATTTTCTAATGTGATAACAAAGTAGATGTTTTGATTATTTCTTCCTCATTGCCGTTTGGGTACCTAGCATGTTGGTTCTGTATGCTGTTAAAATCGCTTAAGCCGCTTAGCGTCGCTTAAGTGATTTGGTTGTCATACCTGAAATCCACAGGCTCAAAGACCGCTTAAGCGGATGTATTTAGCTTAAGCGAATAATATATATTCAGTCATTTATGCCACTAAAGTGAAATAACCTCTCAGGTTCATTTAGGATATTGACTAATCTATTTTTAATCTAAAAGTCATGATTTTATTTCTTATTTTTATTTCAGCATGGCACCTAAGAAGTCAATACCTCAAAGAAAAAGGCAAAGACCTGAGGTTGGACAAGGTTCACATCAAAATGAAGTTATGGATGACCAAGAGGCACTAGAAACATATACATCAGTCTTATCATGGGATAGATTTAGGTTCAGAACTAAGGCAAAGGCTGAAAGATACATTCAATTGGAGCAAAGGGAATTACTACCTGAGAGGAAAGTGGTATTAGACCAAGAAGAGTATGATGAATTTATGCAGGAAATTGTCAGAAAGAAATGGAAATATTTGGTAAATCTTCCCAACCAAATACATGGAATCATTGTAAAAGAATTTTACGCAAATGCATGACCGTTGATACCAGATAAGTCAGAGAGGAAGTCATGGGTTCGTAGGCAAACAATTGCTTATGATAGGGAGGCTATTTCTGCACTTTTAGCCAATCCTATGACCTTACCAGAAGGAGAGCTTTGCCAATACCAACAACCTTTGAGACCAGGAGATTTTTAGGTTTTGTAGACCATGAGGTAGCTAAGATCTTATGCATCCCTGGGAAAACCTTTGAGACAAATGCTGCTGGAAAGGCAATGAGGTTCAAGAGGCAAAGTTTAAATACTTTGGCACAAATCTGGACATCATTTCTGTTTGCCAACATAGCCCCCACCACACACACCTCAGATGTTCGCATGCCTCGAGCATATCTGATTTATAACTTTATGGAGAAGTTAACAGTGGACATAGCAACAATCATTTCAGATGAAATCCACCAATTTGTCATGTCGAACACCTCCACTACTGCAGCAGCGACAAAGCCTTTGGGTCCTGCTTTGATTACTGCTTTATGTGCTTCACAAGGTGTTACGCTTCCTGACTACTCCAACCAAACAGTTAAATTAAAGAAACCTATAAATTCTCAGTTCATCAGAAATTACTGCATTAATCCATTAGAGCATCCTAATCCAACTTCTTCTCATCCGACCTCATCTGCAACACCTGCAGCGACACCACCACCAACTACACATACTTAAGAGATGAACAATTGTGGACCACTAATGGAATGGACTCTTTATCCATATTATTTTTTGCCACAATTAACTATTTCTGGATGAGTGAATTTGACTTTGATAAACAATTTTGTAAAATTTTGACATGCTGTTAATCAAATGCACAAAGGTTTTATGTTAATCAAATGCACAAAGGTTTTCATGTGATCGCTTGTTTTGGATTGAGTTTCCATTCAAATTCAAGTTTTAACCTTTCGAATTAGAATATTATCAATTTTTGGATTCAATGATTGTGTGTTGTTACTTTCCTCTTGATTCTTGAATTAGATGTTTAATTAATTGATTATCTTCTCTCTTTTTTATTTTGTTTTATTGATTTTGTTGAATTCCCCTATTTTAAATTCTAATTTGATAAATTATTTTGATGATCCTTAAGAGAGGACTCTAGCTGCTTGCCTCATGCTATAATAATTAGGTTTTTATTATTTTGCCTCGCTAAGACCGTGGATCATTGTACACTGACTTTATTAATCATCTCATTAGTATCATTAACTTTTTC